ATGAACTAAGGCGCTCGGGCATCAATAAAGTCAACTGGCGAACGTTCGTTATATATATTTTTATTGTTTAAATTAAAATAATAAAGAATAGGGCATTTTATTATGATATTTGTAATCGGATCAAAGGCTTGTTTACGCTAGAGCTCGAGAGAGACTGTGAATAATAGGTGTAATGTTTTTAGGACGTAGAATAATTTAGGCGACGGTCGGAATTATGTTTCTGCGCATATGAAGGTCAAAGCTCATAAGATTTTAAAACATCTCTACCAATGAGTTGCGATTATGTTAAAGCCACTTGTAATAATTTAATTAATAAGTATTTTTTTCTAAAATAAATTTTACAGTAAGATGAAAATGAATAGAAAATGTATTCTATCTCGAGCAAAAAATGCTACTTTATCTACAGGGTGTCCTAGAAATAAATACCAAAATGTTAACATGCATTTAAGTCATCGAAAGCAACAACTTTTATATAAAACTTACGTGTAGCTTTTAAAAGTTTAAATTTTTATTACACACAACTATACCATACGTCGAAACTCTCAGTTGTGGACAATAGTGAACAAATGGAAGCAGAAAAATAGGAGCTAATTAGGTAGTTAAAATATTTGCTATTTAGAAAAAATTAATTAAACAAAAGTTGTTACTTTCAACGAGTTATACAGGGTGTTCTGAGAGTCAGTCACGAAATTCCGGGAGGTGTTTGTAGGGATTAAATTTTTTTCGAATTGTCAATAGTCTGCAAGTTACAGCTTGTCAAAGTTACATTTTTTCTTTTTAAATAACTCGTCTAATCAAATTCGATCAGTCTCTCATTAGAAACACCCACTAAGTAGATCAAGCTCCATTGGACCGGTTAGATAAAACTTTAAACTTTCATAATACACCGCTAGATGGCACTTCACCTAGAACTCAAAATTTGTTTTGTTCATAACTTTTTTCCCTTGCTAGACATCTCAGAAATTTAAACAATATTGAAAAGAGAAACATTTATCAGAAAATATTATGTAGGTACTCTTTATTCAAGTCGATAAATGTAACCGTTTGCCAGGAAATCGTTATTACAGTTTTACTAAACACCAAATTTTTGATAATTTTGTAATGAATCAAGATGCCATGCTTCAAATAAACGACATTAGTAATAATGGTTTACGAATTGTAACGAAAATTGTTTAAAGCAAGTATAAGATTACTTTTTTTACTATAATAATTTTTTTTAATATACTTGATTTTCAAAAAATATAAAAATAAATACAGGAAAACATAAAATATAATAAATGTTAAGGATCTAGGCTAGACAAATAAGTATAGTTACTTACAACTGTTCCCAAACGAGAGAACAAGCAACAGACAACCTAATTTAGACAACATTTCGAGATGGACTGTCCTTAGATGGAAATGTGACAGATATATATCTGTCTACCACTTATGTTGTTTATCACAGTCACAAGGGTAGAACTGGCGTGATCGGAGTGAAATAGTGGAGGTGGACGCTAGCGTCACCTGCTAATAGGCCGACTATGGCAATGTAGTGGGGTTGGAGGTTTTCACAAAGCGTTGTTGTCCTGTCCTATTCGAGTGCTAAGACTTGATCTATCATACCACTGTTGCCATTGACATTGTGAATAGGTGAGGACCGAGACTTTCTTTCTAGGTGGGTAAGAAAGAAAGAAAAAAGCCCTGTAGGGAATCTACTAACGCGAGAAAATTTAAATCTTGTAAATTCGCAAAACGAGCAGGTACTTAATTAAAGGGAAATATATTTCGAAATTATTTCCAATTCGTCGCTTTTACCCCGTTTACTTGGTAGTCCAGTAATATTTTTCGCATAATTAAAAATATTTTTAATTTTTTCAAGAGTTAAAATAATTTGTGATAGAGATTATTATACAAGTGGATAATATAATCTAATACTTAAAAGACTATCTATCAGTAATTTTAATATACCTATGGAAATTCCGTAACATCTTTGAATAAGTAAATCAGTCGTCACTAAACAATTTTGATTTAATAACGACATTGTGAAACATTTTTAATTACTTGCAATTATATTACACGTAAACTTATCTGTAATAACTTAAGTTAAGGTAATCATTGAGCTGAAACAAAAGTCCTTCATCTCGAGTAGAAACCTTTCACAGCTCTCGAAAACACTCGTATCATTTCACTTAACGAACATCTGTTTCCCCTTGAATCAAAAAATGGTTATCATTCGCTTATCAAGACATTTCTTATACGAATTTAACTTGAGTACCAAAAATTTATTTATTTGTTAATTTCTTGTAATACACGCATCTTATAGAAAACAATTAAAGAAACCGGCTATCACAAATAGTTCAGTCACCTAAAATTGGTCATAAAATGGAGGATAAGTAGTAGACAAACCAGTGTACTTACATCACGTTACTATAATTATTTAGTTCGTTGTTTTGCTAATTATAATCGCCAAGTTAGAATTGGCTTGATTGTAAAACAGAACAAAAGGTAGCATTTTGGGAAACAAAATCATTTATAGTATTTTGTATATAACATATTATTAAAATTTAAGATGATTATAAAACAAAGAAGATACGGAAAGCAAACTACGGCTTATATTTTACAACGAGGTTTTCATATTCCAAGAGTCCAAGCTTGCTCCAGAAGTCGATAGGGGTCACACTTTCACTCCTGTGCAGCTTCATGTCTTCTGGTCCATTTATGAACAAGTATGTCAGCTCTTCAGATACCGTTGGTTGCCAAACGTCTGTCCCATCGAAAGAAGCATTACTAAAAAATTGGAATTAATGAAGGAAATAAGTAATTCAAGGAAATTTATGTTATTTTTACCCGCTGCTGGCATACGAGTACAACAGATTCTGACAGGCAGTAACCAAGCGGTTATCCTGTTCCGATAATGGTAGTATATGTACTATACCATAGAAGTAGATACCATCTTCACTGTGAGACACACCTGTGAAAATGATGATGTTAGATTTGATTTCGTTTGTAATATTTATTCAATACCGCTTCTTCCCTAGTTCAGTTCTTACCTTCTATTTCATCTGTTCCCGTTAAGAGCTGCATCGGTCTGTTTTCACCTTCGGTGTAATTGAATATATAGAAATGTACTGGAGATTTCGTTACCTTGGCTTGCATTTTAGCGGAGAGTTCTGCAGAAACAGCGAACAACCTGTCAGTAAGCATCTAAATGCAAATAAAAACAAAATAAAGTAAATAAATTTTGTTTCACAAATTGAGAAAATATACCTGTGTAAATTGTTTGTAGTTATCTTTACTGATTTTTTCTCCTGGACCCAAATAGTAGTCTAAAACTTTCTTCTCTACTGTTTCCGTCTCCGATACAGGTAAAGTCTCGTTGCAAATTAGCAGATAAGGAGCTATTTCTGCCCACTTTTCGCCTACCTCTTCCAACTTTTCCCAATAAACTGAAGAATTATATAATCTGAATTAATTAAACAGTTTTGTATTACCGAATCATTGCAGAGTATAAGAAAAAGAAAAGAAAGGAGACTCACGTCCTGTAAGAAGCAATCCTTCACCGGTAGTGAAGGAGGTAATCCAAGGCACATCGTGGACTTTACCTTCCTTCAAAAGCTGGTAAGGTTCCGCGTCTAGAAAAGCGTTTGATGATCCCTTTTCCACCACTGGTGCAAAAGGCGAGAATGGCATGCTGTCGTAACCATAGAAATAGTCCAACTGCTTTAACACATCTTCTGCAGGTCTCTGCTTAAGGCACTTCTTCAGTTCTTCCGAGGGGCTGTCAGGACAGCCCAACAACACAGCAAGCTTCTTAGCGTGTTGCAAAGCATTCCTCTTTATGGCCCATGGCCCTAGAGCTGTGCCGCTGTGCGACATCCCTCTGTTGAATAAACCTTTAGAGAGGGGAGAGAAGTAGTGGAGGTGGACGCTGCCAGCTCCCGCTGACATACCCACTATGGTAACGGAGTGGGGGTTTCCCCCAAACGAAGCGATGTTGTCCCGGACCCACTTGAGTGCTAAGACTTGGTCTTTCATGCCGTTGTTTCCGGGTATAACGTCATCCTCCGTGCTAAGAAATCCTGTAACGTTAATTGAATAAACACTTACATGGGAAACCGAAGGCAGTGTTACAGTAACAGCCTACCTAGAATACCAAGACGATAATTAAAAGATACAAGCACAACCTCCCTGTTTAAGAACGTATTCAAATCCGAGTGACCGCTGCCCCCCATAAAGGCGCCTCCATGGATGGAAACTATAACGTCAAGGGCCTTGGGGTTCTTCACGGAATCTTCAGGGATGTACACGTTTATGTAGAGGCAATCTTCGTCTCCTAAAAAAATACAAACACTTTCATCAATTTCGATGATATTGTAAGAAGTAGATGCTTAAAGGCATATAAAAATAATAGTTCTTTGTAGGTACTTTAAAGGAGGCGTAATTAGGTTTCAAAATGCTTGGTGCTGCTTTAATACTGACCAGGTGTTGCTTCAAGATAGGAAAAAACTGCACCTTGAATACATGTATGAGGAGCATTGGCCACCCAAGTTCCTGACCAAGCTGGAATGGCTTCAGGTGCCTACAAATGTGTAAAGAACCAATGACTGTTAAGTTCGACAATTAACACAAATGAGAATATTTTGACCCACCTCAAACCTAAGATCTCCCACTGGTGGTTTTGCGTATGGAATTCCCTCAAATGCAGCATAAGTTATGCCTTCTATTGTCTTCCAATATCCCCGAACTCTGCCCAAAGGCGTGTCTATCTCTGGGAGAACATCCTGGCTTGAACAAACTAGCATCGAGTTAAATTTAAATATATTAATTAAANTAGTGATCATTATTTTAAAAATATACTTGATTGTTAAAAAATATAAAAATAAATACAGGAAAATATATAATATAATAAATGTTAAAGAACTAGGCTAGGCAAATAAGTGTAATTACTTACAGCTGTTCCCAAACGAGAGAACAAGCAACATACACTCCAATTTAGATAACATTTCGAGATGGACTATCCTTAGACAGAAATCTGGCAGATATATATCTGTTTACCACTTATCTTTTTTATCACAGTCACAAGGGTAGAACTGGCGTGATGGTAGTGAATTAGTACAGGTGGATGCCAAATAAACAGGAATAAATTTCCACGTCATTTTTTATTCTGGAGATCTTCGCCAATACACCTACTACCTACCATAACCGTAAAAAATATAAAAACAAATTTTTTCTTCAAATTCTTCAATTTTAATAATGAACATTTATTTTTTATATTCATTATTCACTCACTACGTTCGTCAGACAAACTTTCAATGCTTAGCACATAAAGTATCACTTATTCTCCTAATATCATAATATACTATTCATAAGGCAGCCAACCAACTTATCTATTTACATATAAGACGCCGCCGCTAGTTTTTCATTTGCCTCCACTTTTAAATTTGCAAATTTACATGATAAAATTGGGGATCGACACTAAGACTTTGCAATAGTTGTCTTTTTCTATCGTCATCACTGATAAGTTGTTTAAGAGCTCTTGTGTATTCGTATTTCTAAGTCGTAATGCGCTTAAGACACAAAAGTTTCTTTCTACCGAGACACTTGTTGCAGGAATTATTAAAACTGGGCAAAACAATTTGTATGTTTCTGAAAATACCATTTTAAGTTCCTTGTATAATATTTCTAGTTTTTTGACCTTCTAAATTACGAAATTGTTCGTCTCTGTACAAAATATTAAGTTCATTTTTCAACCTATCTATTTCAAAAACATTTGAATACGTTTGTAATAAACATTCAAACGATTTTTCGGGAAATTTGTAATTCGTCGCAACTTTTGCCCCGTTTACTTGATAATCCAGTGATATTTTTCACATAATTAAAAATATTTTTAAATTTTTCAAGAGTTACAACAATATTGTGATAGAGATTAGTATACAAGTGGATATAATTTAATACTTAAAAGACTATCTAACAGTATTTTTATTTTACCTATGAAATTTCCATTACATCTTTGGATAAGTAGATCAGTCGTCACTAAACAATTTTGATCTAATATTGACATTGTGAAACATTATTAATTACTTGCAGTTACATATATTACACGTAAACTTATCTGTAATAACTTAAGTTAAGGTAATCATTGAGCTGGAACAAAAGTCCTTCATCTCGAGTAGAAACCTTTCACAACTCTCGAAAACACTCGTATCATTTCACTTAACGAACATCTGTTTCCCCTTGAATCAAAAAATGGTTATCATTCGCTTATCAAGACATTTCTTATACGAATTTAACTTGAGTACCAAAAATTTATTTATTTGTTAATTTCTTGTAATACACGCATCTTATAGAAAACAATTAAAGAAACTGGCTATCACAAATAGTTCAGTCACCTAAAATTGGTCATAAAATGGAGGATAAGTAGTAGACAAACCAGTGTACTTACATCACGTTACTATAATTATTTAGTTCGTTGTTTTGCTAATTATAATCGCCAAGTTAGAATTGGCTTGATTGTAAAACAGAACAAAAGGTAGCATTTTGGGAAACAAAATCATTTATAGTATTTTGTATATAACATATTATTAAAATTTAAGATGATTATAAAACAAAGAAGATACGGAAAGCAAACTACGGCTTATATT